ACATCCTGTTGTAAGTATTAATTTTGTCGTTTCTAACGAAAAACCAATCGATAATTTCGTGAAACACGAATAGAGCTCTTTCTGATACAGACATGAATACATAATAAAAAATGGAATAATTTTAAATACTAATCTCGTGTTTTGGAATCTGGAGATAACATTTTCCTTGTATCATTTTACTTATATCGTATAGATATAAGGTATAGTCACAAGCGAGCTTTACATTTCGATATTGAAAGTTTGACAACTCTGTAGTGGGTCTCAAAGACCATATTGCTGGTTCATTCACTAGTTTCCCAACTCACCGTTGTTTTATCGTAGAGTGCGCTAAGAAGCCAGTGATTTTTTAGTATGTCGGTATTTCAGGTTACGAAAGTCCGTAAGGTGCAATGTCTGTTCATATTCCTCGTCGGTGATACGATATATTTTAATCCTGTTCTATTTTGTTCAAAATATATTATTTAAGTAAATAGATTAGATTAGAATTTTTCATGTAAAAAAATTAGACCCAATAGTAATTTCGAATAAACTTTATGGTCCATAAAACGTAACAAGTAGCATTTAAAAATTTCTAATCACTTCGTTTTCAATAGTTCGTATGTCATAGATATACTTAACTACGGATCAAATGAAACATGTATATGTACGAAAATACTGCAACTAATTTTTTATCGTTGCTTTTTCAAACAAAGGATGTTGAGTACATATGCGCGTGTTATCAGTTTATTAAGACAGATGTCTAATCACGACAAGATAACAGAAAAGGAATATTTTCAGCTAGAATGATTTTTACTTTAAATGAAATGTTCATTAACTGTCAAATATTAACAAATATGAATTCGTTCGTATTGAAATCTGTGCAAGAAGATTCATAAAAAAATTATACTATTATTAATTACGAATGCCAATTGACTCAATTAGGCTGAGTTAGGATCCAATCTGGTTAATTGGCAAGAAAGAATTACACAATAATTATTTCTAACAATCAACTAATGTTTATATTTCATAAAATTGAATCGTTAATCTTTATCTCGTTATTAAGTTTGTTACTGTTAAAAAAAGGAATTTATTTAGGTTCAATCCGAGAGAAATAAAAGAAATGGTGGGGATAGCAACAGTCAGTTAGCAAGGTATACTTGTCACCAGTCAGTCGGCAAAGCAGAACTACGCCCTGAACGTAGTTACGTTGTGCGTTACTCGTTGTATCGAAGATACGGAGAGAAGAGGAACAACTTCAAGCAAGTGCGGGCAACGAGTGACGATACAAGTCAGCAAGTGATCTGAAGCGGACTGCATTCGTGGAGAGTAAAAGGGGTGTGCGCCCCGGTTACTTAAATACAATTGTGATTATTATATCTGACAATAAATTTTAATTTATACTATATGAATTGGAAATAATACGTGACCGAGATATGGGTGAGTTGTGTGATAATTCACGAAGGTACATGCTTCCGAAATTGAAATCGAATCTATCGAGTGAATATAAATTTCATTGGTGGACAATTTGTCAAAGGTTTTCTTCGAGTATTTCGACGTAATTTTCGATTGTTCTACGTTTCCAGGAGGATTACTCAGTTATTTTCGTAATTTACTCGGGAGTCGGGAAATGCGGATTTTAATTCTAGGCTTGGACGGAGCCGGAAAAACTACGATCTTGTACAGGTATGCCTTACGTTGACAAGTCCTCTCTACGTTTCGTTTGACAGTTGTGTTTTAACATATACGCATTCTTTGTTTAATTGCTTCTTCGTATACTAATTGTAATTTATTGTATCTTTGTATACTAATTACTTATTCGTATAAATAACCTTATTGAGCAAATTCTTCGTTTGAACGTTTGTAATTGTAATTTATTGTTTTTTCGTATACTAATTACTTATTTGTACAAATAACCTTATTGAACAAATTCTTCGTTTGAACGTTTGTAATTGTAATTTATCGTTTCTTCGTATACTAATTACTTATTTGTATAAATAACCTTATTGAACAAATTCTTCGCTTGAACGTTTGTAATCAAATATTAGATGTATCTTCGTGTGATGTAAACTATTTAAAACTTGGATGTGATGTACTATGCGCGTAGCATTCAATTCTACTGAATATTGTTGTATTTATTAGGTTACAGGTTGGTGAAGTGGTTACAACAATACCTACTATAGGATTTAATGTAGAACAGGTCACATATAAAAATTTAAAATTCCAAGTATGGGATCTGGGAGGTCAAACTAGTATACGGTACGTTATAAAATATAAATGGATGGTGTTTTATGAAGGCTCATTTGTTAAAAACGATGCAATGTTTACGAGGATTATAATGTAAATGTACATTTCAAATTCACAGACCATATTGGAGGTGTTATTACTCAAACACAGATGCAATAATTTATGTCGTGGATTCCGCAGATAAGGATAGGATAGGCATATCAAAAGATGAATTAATTTATATGTTGAGAGTAAGCATACTTTTGTGTCGCTAACAGAGATTATTTATTAATTCAATGATTATTGACTATTTTATCTTTAAATTTCATTAATTATGACACAAAGTACCAACATACAGAATATATTTTACAATTTTGTGTTTTCAAAATCACAATACACAATTCAACCATTAACACTGTAAAAATAAGATATATATTTATATATGTATGTTTAGGAAGAAGAATTGCAAGGTGCCATTTTAGTGGTCCTAGCAAATAAACAAGATATGGCAGGGTGTTTAAGTGTTGCAGAGGTGCATCAGGCGCTTGGATTGGATGCTCTTAAAAACAGAACGTTCCAAATTTTTAAAACATCTGCAACTAAAGGTGAAGGACTTGATCAAGCGATGGACTGGTTGTCGAATGCATTGCAAAGTAAAAAATGATTAACATTATTAAAACAGTTTTCTACTCAAGCCTTCTTAAGAAGACTAGTCATATGACTGTCAAATTGTACAACCCACACAGAACTGTTGGGCACGTTTCTCTTGTTCTGTCTATTTATTACAGCTATATTTTAAATAGTTTTACAAATTATATGGGAAGACAATTCTACTGATTTACCACGATTTTCGTAATGTGAAGCAAGCCAATAAAAGCAAACCAAACTTTTATCTTTCAACTTCAAATAAAATAAACATAGAGATTTGAATATCTTTTTCTGCATCATTAACGAATAATTTTATCATGACTATGTTACGCAATTTTTAGTATCCAATAGTATCATGAGAATTATTGAATAAACAATTTTTGTTACTATACAAGGCTTTAAATATAAATCTTTCGAAAATTATAAATTTGTTATTATATTGGCAATGGAAAGTATAATGTATAGTGATATACATCACTTATATTAGTCAAAAAGTCATTTATAAATATTAACAGTAAAACTGGTAATTATTTGAAGTGTCAACATCTTGACATACTCTGTGAATAGTTGTGTAAATATGTGTAACTGATTTAATTTCGGTCGTTTAACATTAAGGTACATATGTAAAACGTACGTTCCCTTTTATAAGAAATAATATACAAGACGATCTGACGTAGAATTCAAGACAACATCATAATGATGTTTAAAAAATTTATTACATAAAATTGGAAAGACACGATACTGCCATACAGAAACAAAATTGGTATTTCAAAACAAGTATGCATTTAAATTTCATCTTTGACAAAAATAAAATACATTTTGTTAGTTTTTATCCAATAATAAATTATTTAATACCAAATAATATTAGATAATCAAACTACTTGACCAGTATACTAAGATTTGATAATTAATTTATGTATTTAAAATCTTTATAAATATTATTTCATAATAAATATTCCACAAATATTAATTCCGTAAATATAATTTTTGAATTTTAAATGGAATGTGTTTTTATAAAAATAGGAAAAAGCTTTTCACTTTACATATATACAAACATGGGAAGATAATTGCTATATAAAGTCATTATAGAAATTTATAAACTTTCTATATATTCTGATTTGTACAAAAATTTGCGAAAGGAATTAAATTTTTATGTCAATTATACAAACACTTGTTTCATTTTAATTTTGTGTTGAAATTACATATAAAATAGTAATTATTTTTTGCATGTGTCAGAAACAATTACAAAATAAACATACCTTTCATGCTTCTCGATTTCACCATGCTTCTTCAATTTTACCAAGTTGGAATTCCAAATCTTTCAATTCGTTTCATTTGTGTATCCAATTCCATTTGAACTTTCTTTCTCATATAAAATATTGGACAATCGCGGCTATAAAAAGAATATGATATTAGTTTTAATAAACACGTATATTGACTAAAAGAAAATTCATGTACATATTAATTGATTACAGAACGAACTTTGTACACAATACTTCTTGGTGAAGACTTCCCTGACATCTTTGACACTCTGTCCACAATCTACAGAATTTTTCTTCTAATTTTCTACCAGCATACAACTCCGTTTGATATAATTCTGATTCTTTTGGTTCACAATATTTACACAATGCCATCTTTTCTCTTTCAGGTGTTAGAACGGCTTTGCATCCTAGGCATATTTCCTTCTTGCGCGTAAATGCGGACAAAGCACCGACTTTCGACGTAACAATGGATTTTGTGCGTGTATGATCTCCTTTCAATAAAAGCGATTCAGCCCTTTCCCCAAGAATGGGCTCAAAAATCCGCACTAATGGTTTGGCTAACTGGTTTTCCAAGTAGTAATTTGTATCTATAGGAATATTGTTTTCTAAGACGAAAATAGGATCCTCAGCTTTCTGATAAGCCGGTGTGCCTTTGGCTGCTCGTATGAAAACGTACGGTACCCTGTCACCAAGTTTTGGAGCATTTCCGGCATCTCGTTTTTTCATTTTTGTCGCTAATTCGACGTGCGCTTGCTTGGCCGCGTAGTCGGTTTTAGTTAATTCTTTTGTAATTACCAATTGAGAGATGTCTATACGATTGCATAAAAGATCGCTTATAATCTGTTTGGCGTAACTCAGCGCATCATTGGGATTTCTATAACAAAGAAAAAAAGAGGTAGTAAATTGAATTTTTTTTCTTCTTTTACTGTGCATTATAAAAATAATATTAAGTTACCTATCGATGAGTAATTTTTGTAAACAAGTATTCATCATGTTTGCTACTAATGGACAATTATCTCTTCGTACAGTTTCCAAACCTTTGCAATCCATTTTGTCGTATTTATCTGGACGAGTAAAATATAAGCCGGCGTATCGTTTTTTGTTAATCAACAGGTACGGGAAATATACTTTTTCAAATTCCAGTTTTATTGGTTTCAAAAATTTCGAGGACACGTATTCCGCTGCTTCCCGGCCAAGTTCCATGGCTTCTTCGACTGTTTTCACACCAAACTTAATCATAACGGAATCGGTATCTCCATATATAACTACCGCGTCATTTTTATACCCTTTGGAAGTGCAATATTGCTCTTCCACTTCATGCTTTGTTCGTTCTATCATAGTACGACCGTATGAGGTAACACTCTGAAAATCAATCGTTTTACTATAAAAGGAAACATGATCTATTGAAAAATTTGAATATTAAAATCTCACAGCAGAAATGTCCAAACAGGGTAGTTTTCCCATTTGTGCACCAGTGAAGCCGTATACAGAATTAGCGGATACTTTCAAAGCATATTGTCTGCCGTCCAACACTTTTTGTTTCAACGGATCGGTTTCTTTTTTCAGTTCAGTTTTTGCCGCTTTTCTAGCTGACAAAAGATTTTCTAGAATTTCTGGGAGAATTCCCTTTCTAAGAGTAGCTTTGACAAATTTTGAATCACTCGGAGTTACGGTAATATCATCCGAATCAATTTTGAGTTTAATTTGCTTGTCATGTTTTAACAGCGTAGTGTAACACAGATTGTGGGCCATGATAATACTGGGATACAAAGAACTGAAATCCAAAGTTGCAATGGGATCGTTATAGTATCCGCGTTTTGGTTCTATAACTGTTGCACCTTCAAACTGTTCGTCGCTAACTTGACCACGATGAACAGGCATTAAGTAGTCTTTTTCTCGAATCTGAAATCATGTATCTGTATTCTAATAATTGATCTTATGAGTCAATAATAGCCTTACCTTTCTTAATAATTGTGAAACAACTTTAATTTGTTGGCCTCGAGTTAGTAAACTACATATGGAAACCCCGGTAACTCTTGCCATTTCCATGTAGATAAAAATACACATTAACTTGTCTAACAATCTAAGCGGCAAATACGCGTCTTTCAAACAGTAAACAGCGAGTCTTCGACGTGTCTGTGCATTACCGTTTTGTAAATCCGTGATAATGCTATGATGGACATCTTCTTTTTGCTCTTGTAAGAAATGATAAGAAACAGCATTTAGAGTGTAAGATCTTAATTTGTAATCTCTGACTAGTACCTAAACACAAGAGTGAATTTTAATTTTTTATTACATTTAGTAATTTAGTAGTTTCTTTTTTAGCAAAATTAGTTTTACCAGTAGTAAATCGAATGGAACTCTTCCTTCAAAATTAATGGACTTATTTTCACGTCGACCCATCTGTTTATTTTGAAGCACCTGAGTTTTAATTACTGACTTTATATTTTTTATTCGGCCAAGGAAGTAAAAATCTTTCACGTTAAGGTGTTTCGCACGATTAATCAAATAAGGAAAGTCGAAATTATTTATATTATATCCTGTAAAAATATCGGGATCTAATTGTCTTACGAAGTCCGCCCATTTCTAATAAAGAAAAACAAAATATAATTGACACATACCAGTTGATTTCAACTTGATGTTGAACTCAAATATTGAATTTCGGATATACTCATACCTCTAACAATTTTTGTTCTTTCTCGAAACTTAAAACTTGGCAACCAACAATTGGTGCACATGTATTGAGGGTGAAAATATTTCGCAGAAAAGGTTCCGTTTCCCCTTGTTTTATTACCATATTAGCAATTTGTATAACCGGATCATGATTTGGTTCCGGAAAAATTCCTATTATATGAAAAAAAGAAAGAAAGAAATAACGTACATCTATACATGAAAAAATATTTAACAAGATAAATTTTACCTTTGCGACCAGCGCATTCGATATCAAAACTAAGAATCCTAAATGGTGCAATTTTTGACCATTCTCCTTCGGGAGCATGAGCAATGAATGCGTCCCATGCGATATCAACTTCTAATTGACATCTTGCAGTCAAGGGTAAATTGTGTCCAAAATGTTGTCGAAGTTTCCAAGTTTTTGGTGGCAATTCAATCCATGAACATCCAACTACTGATGTGTCAACCATAAATCTTAAACAATTACTTGATTGGAGAGGCAGAAAAAACTAAAACTTTAAGAAATAGAAGATACAATGCAATTGTATACCTAATATCAAAATCGATATTACTTTCAAAAGCAGTATATTGGTGATTGAATTCAGCTAAAATGGTTTCTTCTTCTACTATTTTCTTACAACGTGCTACTAGTCTCGGAAGTGCTACTGTAACTTTTAAGAACAACGATTTGTCATTTCCTGTATAACCATACATGTTTTGTTTATACACTCGCTCAACAGCTAACACAGCCTCTTGAATATTCTCTGGATTTGATCTCATATCTTTTAACATAGCTTTGTCTAAAGCTTCCTAAATAATATATTGATATAATACAAGAGTCTGAAGTTTACTACTAATTTTTAGAATTGTATACCTTGAATAATCTACAATGATTCTCATTAAAATTTTGTGGCGCCGTAACATATAAATAAGGGCTAAATCCATGAACATGGCAACAAACTGAATTCCCTAATTCTGTAACACCAAACATTCTCATTATTGGTACGGGAGATATGATACTGCCAGGCATTCCAGTTAATGGTGCACCTTAAAAAAAAAAGAAATAAAAATACAACTTGATTGATTTGAAGTAGTACGATAAAATTTGTTTATTCGCAGTATGCTTACCACTGTAATGATCAATTTCTATTTGCTGAAAAATCAATGCATCTTTTTGTGGATTTAACGATGGAGGTGGTGGTCTGTTCCATTTTGAATATGTATTTTCTTGTTCAGGACCCTGATAAGAATATTTATTCATTAGAACAAAGAATTTATTTAAATTTACACTGTAAATATACACTTAAATTTACACTGTAAATATAGTAGCGTAGCAAATATATAAAGCAAAAAATTAAATTGTGAAAATAATAGGAAAAATTAATTATTATACGAATGAAAATATACATATGATAACATGTAAAAATTGGCAATTAATGCAGTTTGTATGATTTCAAGAATGTTTATATGAAGAAATATTCAACATGCAAACATACTTTCATTATATGAATTAACTCACTGCTTTTGATACTTTATTTAATTGTACATCAGATTGCTAGAATAATAAAATATATTGAATTTAATATATTGAAATTACTTTATACAAAATTGTGTAATCCTTTTTCTAATATATGTAAAAATTTTATAGCAATCAACACTGGTTAAACATTATTTTACAAAAACTTTATAATACAACTAATTTGATAGTAAGTACAAGATAAATACTACATTGTTTAATGCTTACCTCTTCAATGACCTGAGACATGTCTCCAAATTCATTTTCCATTTCATCCATAGTAGCCAGTTCAGCCTCGAATGAACCGGGATAATCATCGTCATCGTCATCATTGCTATTGGTCATCATAGAAATAAGAAATATAAAATTAACGTCAATGAAAATTAAAAGGGAGATTAGAAATAATGATAATAACAATAATAATCAGAAAACACAAAATAATAAGACATAATAGAAACTGTACATGTGAAAAAGGTCATTTCATATCAAATGCTTTTATTTCATAGAGATGATAATAAAAAAAAGATTCAGTGAAAGTTTTAATGCTACCTTTTTTTATTATTCAACAGAAGAGATGTAAACACAAATTGCAAGGCAAAGGCAAAAAATTAGGTTAGGTTAAAAATGAATGCAATAAGTATTTACCGATATTTTGCTCTTTTTATGGCAGAGGGTGCGGAAAATTGCTTCTTACTCATTTTGCATTTATGTTCGAAATGACATAGGCATTAAACACAATTGTTTCGGTTACAAATGCTACCGACAAACGCACAGAAAAATGGCGCGAAGAAGTTTCAATATTTAGTTATTTTGGTTGACGTTGCAGGTTGTGCAATATTGGAAAATAATTACCTAGCGTTACAAAAAAATTTAAAATTGAATCGTCAAGAGAGAAGTTTTATCATTCTCCCGTCACTTTTGTTCATTTGCTGTCTCAGCTACGTTCCAGTTACGTTTCGTCCATTTATATATTTCAGCTACATCCTAGTTAAATTTATGAATTGGAATAAATTTTTTACCGGGACGCCAGGTCACGAGGAGCATGCGAATGAGGAAACGACGGAAACGGAAGACGACGAGGATGTCACGGATAGCACGGGAACCGTATCCACTGATAAAAAATCTCATTTCCTTGGAATGCATTTTCACAAGTTCTCGCACAATCATTTATCGCAACGATGTATTAAACTGGCTTTCTTAACAATCAATGTTGCAATTTTTGTAAGCATTAATTAATAACAAATTATCAAAGGTTTATAAACGGAAATTTGATCAAACCTTCATCGTTCATAGCAGTTATTGCG